GACATTGGACGACCGCCAAATATCTGTGAAGACCTCGACAACCACGGGAAGCTAAGGAATTCGTGGGAAGACCAGAAACGTTTTGCGTTACAGAGCAACAAAATCAGTCGAGGGCAAATAAGAGTGGACGCGGTTTCGCAAAAGGGAAGGGGTAGAATCAGCATCAGGGTAAAAATGCCAAGCAGAAGGTATGTTGAGCAAACTGTAATCTCAGCATCGCTTAAAAAAAAGGAACCCTGATTTCGAATCAGGCATAGTCTTTGATGCTGGAGAAATTGTGTGAATACCCCACCCCAGCCCGAGCGATCAGGGCTCCGGTAAAACTTAGCAGCTTTTCGTGCTTTCCTCGTTTCATAAGTGCATGTTAATCAGGCGCGTAAAGACCCTGCCCGTACAGCTATAGTTGGCTGTTAGTATGCGCGATGAAGCCGAAACGCGCAAGGTAAAGAAGTCAATCTGTCGCGGAGAGAAGAAGATTAGACAAACGACAGAGGCTGGCCGCCGACTCCACCGCGTTTCCCATTTTACTTTAGCCACGTTCGCGCCCCGCGCCCGTCCTCATTTCGTGTTCATTCGTGTTCGTTGCGCGTTCTTGCTGTGTCCAACTCGCGTCGTCCACAGAGCTCTGCAAAAGTCAACTCGTCGACTGACCGAGCTCGACCGGGAGGCGGTCGAGGCGGTGAGAGGTGAAAAGAGGAGCACCCACTCTGTCTCCCCTCCTCACCCCTCACCTGCACGCGGTCGGTGCCGACCAAGGTGGGTCCGTAGCCACCTTGGTGCCGACCACCTGCCGGTCGAGCTCTGTCGGTCGACGAGGCGATTTTGCAGAGCTCTGGTCGCGAGGAGGAAATCACTTGGGTCCGTAGCGTACGGGCTATTTCTGGTATTTCTCGAGTATTTCTCCTGCAATTTCGGTTATTTCTTGCCTATTTCGGATTATTTCAGGGCATTTCGGAGTTTTTCAGGGGTATTTCGCGACTATTTTACCGACTATTTCGCGTCTATTTCGCTCTATTTCGCTTTTATTTTAGACTATTTCGGGGGAATGTGTACGAACTATTTCGCAAGTGATTTCCCACTCGTCTGGTCCCGTACGCTTGCTTTGAACGCCGCGGACGGGCTCGGGCCAGCGCAACTATTAGTCTTTTTTTCGCGTCAGAGTGACTGCCGTACAGTGCGCGTTCCGAGGGTTCCCAGTGTCCGGACTGGCCGGAAACGTGAATTATGGAGACTTCTTTAAAGCGTTTTGTAGGTTGGAATCCCATCTTCTCAATTTTACTTCTCGAAAACTATCACAGAGCGCCAATCATGATAAGTAACGTCAGAATCAGCGTTTCTCAGTATTTTGAACGATATTTGACGGGAAAAGCCCTACGCCGCGGAAGCCTCTAAGTCTCGGTTAGCGCACCTAATTGCCTAGCCTAGTACCCTACCACTTTCTCAACTGACGTACCCCGCAGGTTATTTTTCTGTTCCTCGGTAAACTCAGGAAGATACTGCTCATCTCCGTGAGCAACCTTTAGGGTCTCCTTCACTACGGCTGGGTAATCGCCGTAGATAAGCGGGTGGAGCAGGAGGCCAACGTCGAACATGTTGGCGCGGTGGGCTGCGAGGATGTCGTCCCACTCGCTGCTGTTGGGCCTGTTGAAGAAGGTAACGGCGCCGAAGCCCAGGACGCCGCCCTGGCTCTTTTTGTACTTCTGCTCGTACAGGCGATAGGCAGCCGCGTGCGCCAGAATCGTGTGATGGATGCACTTGTACATGTTCACGTTCGCTGGGGTGTCGCCCTTCGGGGCGCCTGGAGCCAGGCCACCGAAAAACACCATCATGCACTGCATGTTGGGCTCGTTGATTGTCACCCAATGTTCTACCTGTAGAACGCACGAGGGCCGTTACTGATCGTTCTCTGATCAAAGGCGGAGACCCACGTAACAGACGCCGCGATTTCTCACACTAAACACTGTTACGTGTTGCGTTACAATTTCGCCGCTAAGCACCTAGCGTACATGTTGGCGCGCCGTCGCACTGACAGATATCCCTAAACGGATTAACCATACACATAGCTGCCCGTAAGCTGGCTTTGGAGATTTTTTTTTTTTTAAGTTTGTCGCTTAGTTTTCTAGGGCGAAGTAACCGGGAAAACACGACTGAAATCCTGGAAATCTTGACAACGTATCAATAGAACGGAGCACTTGCACACTTGCAGGTGCACAGCTGCAAGTGTTTTACTACGAAGTTGAAGACTTGGTAGTAGTCAATTAGCAGGTGCTCACATATTTTATCAGTGAAAGCAATAGGACTATAGTTGCAAGAAAAATCTAAGAATGTTTTCTTGTGCATTTGCAATAACATTTTTGATACAGTGCTGTAACCGGCTTCTTTATCGCTTAGCCAACGATAAAGTTGTGTCATTATTACCTCAGCGCCATATTCGAGGAAAACAAAGTCTGCGAAATCGGCGTAGGCCTTTATCATCTTGTCACTTAGCCAACCACCGACCTCCGACTCCAGAGCTTGCGGGTGGTCGAAGTGATAGATGGTGACCTGCAAAAGCGGTTCACTTTCTGTTACCGGTAATCAAATTGGCATGAGTTCGTCAATCTAGTCAAAACTCCAAACAGTACACAGGCGTTTTACAGAACTAAACCAGAAAGAGTCAAATTTGGCGGCTCACGCCGTGTCCTCACATTTTCCCTCTTGCCCTCCACCCTTCTCCCCCGTGGTCTCAACCTCAAAGTAAGGCAATTTCGGCTATAAAAAGGCCCTGTATGTAGGCAACCGACAGTGCACGGCTCGCATTATCAGCTGGCCTTTAAACCGTGAACCGTGCCTGTAAACTTCCTAGTTTACAATTAAAATGTGATATTGTACTATCTTCGGATTTCCAATATATCCAGTAAAATACTTCGGACAGGCCACTAATTGTAACTGTTGCTAGGTTCGTCTTTAGTGGACGAACCGTCACTGGTTTTCGCCAGATCGACTTACTCATAACGGATAACAAGAATCAGTAACCTTTACTCTTTTAACAGGACACTTTGGAAATAACCAATCAGTTAGCTTAGACTTACCATAGGTTTCATATTGTTGGCTTTAATCGTCTTGATCACATTGTGGTAATGTTCGACACCTTTGTCGTTTTTTTGTGTAATGTCCCCGTTTGGGAAAATTCTTGCCCAGGAAATGGAAAAGCGGTAGACGTCAAGCTGAAATAAAGTTTGTCGTAGCTTCCCAGTTATTGTCAAAACGATATGGCAGCGTCGTTCCGTTCATTTCAAATTTATCACTTACGTTCATTTGGGCTGCAAGTTTTATGTCTTCTTCGTATCGCTCGTATGAGTTACAAGCGATATCACCAGTCATGTTGATAGGGTAGTTCTCTTTATGGTACATGTAGTCGAACACGTTCACACCCTTTCCTGCCGAAATAAAGAATAAGGTCGCAATGCGTGTTTTCAGTCCGATAACCTGAAGGTTAGGGTTGACCTATTCTCCGTCCAATACCTTCTGTCAGTGACACGTTAGAAACACTCAGCCAGAGCGGATTCCTGCCAGAGGTGTGGCCGGCGCTAGATTTGAGCATACTCTGTGCGAACGCCGTCCAGTCGTGGACGCATAACATTCGCGCCGACTACATTCTCAGCTCTCATCGGGCATCCACTCTGGCTCAGTGTTTACCGTCGCCGCTCAGTGAGCGGCAAGTCCGGTGTTCGACTACCGAGCGGGCCAGGCTAAGAGTTCAAATATCGGCTTGATTTCACGTTTTCATTTGTTCGCTGCCCCCCCCCCATTATTTCGCGTCCTGCTCGCGTTACTATGGGCTTCATTTCGCCTTCTATTCGTGTCGCCGACACGAAAAAGAGACAAATAAACACGCACGTAGTCAAGTAGTTGCATCCTCTTGCACCAAAGAAGGCCGAGCTGGAAGGTCAACAGCAGGGGTGGAAAATCGAAATTAAATTATTGGTTTTACTCCTTTTTGTTCGGAACAAAACGTTTCATTCTTTCGGTTTCGTTTCGTTCGGAACGGAACAAAACCGACAATTTTTGCAATAGTTTCATTCGGAACGGAACTGAACCAAAAGAACAAAACATTTGTCACGTGATAAGCGGATCAAAACCTTTAGTTCCTGGTCACTTGCCGGCGAACAACAGCAAGGGAGTTGGGGGAGGGGGCGTCAGTATGACGTCACGATACTCTACCCTCTTCCAAAAACACACACGCCTGCGTGAACGCACGCACACACGCATAGACGTGCGTGGGCAGATGCGTGCGTGTCACGTGCGTGCGCAGATGCGTGTGTGTCGCGTGCGTGCGGAGATGCGTGCGTGTCGCGTGCGTCCGCAGATGCACGCACACGCACGCACAAACACACAAGCACGTAGATGCACGGACGCAGAAGCACACACACGCGCGAATGCAACAGGTCATAGTAGGCACCGATACGTTTTGTTCTTCCAATGACGTCACCAAAAGAAAGGAACTATGTTTTACTCTTACGAACAAAAATACTCTTGGGAGTTTTTCTCAGTTTTGTTCGCTGAGGTTTTGTTGGTAGTTTAGTTCCGTTCCTTTTCGTTTTGTTCCTTGGAATAGTTTCGATGGAACGGAACTATGCAGTATCGCTCCGTTTCGATTAATTGAATGCCGATTTTCCAGCCCTGGTCGACAGAACATTAAAAAGCTACTGAGCACATAGACCCCTTTTGCGATTATTTGCGTTTTCTTGGTGTTCTAACTGCGTTCTTGAACTGAATGGAGCAGGCTCCGTCTAGTTTACTACGCACGTTTTCTAATGCATTATTTGACCTCACCTGGACACGAAACCAACGCGAAAAGTCGTCGGAGATTTTGACCCGGGGGATTTTGTTCTTTTAACCGACGCTCTTTCCAACTGAGCTACGGTGTCGGCTGAGAGCTAGCACTCAGACAACAAGCACAAATGGACAACTTGCCCAGAGAAGAGGAGCGCGGCGTGAAAACACAAAAAAAGCAGAAAGCACCACACGAAAACTACTCTATACGGCCGGAAAGTAGTATTTGACATGGTTTCCATCAATGTGAAGCCCTCATACATATCTCGGCATTTTCATAGCCCTTCGAAAAAAAAAAAAAAACTCAAAATACGATTTAAAACACTTTACTGGGGGTTATGAGGATTTGTTTTCGACTACGCTCCGCTACTCTGGGTAAGTTGTCTATTGGTTTATCGGTGATTCTAAGCTGCACCTATTGGTGCGTACGTTAACGAAAAATGACGATTTTACGGTCAAAACAATATTGCTTAGACACAAACAGATTTGTAGGTTATATTTGTACAAAGTTGCGCATACGTTTCATTCGCACACATTTGTGCGAAACGAGATGTGTGCGCAACTTTATGCAAATAACGTTTGCACAAAAAACTAGAAATACATTTAGTGTGTAGTTTGAGAACTTCTCATAGCTCCGTTGTTGTACGTAACCAGACGTTTTCTGTCTGTCAGTCTGAACGTGCTTACACTGGTACTAGAAGTGGTTAACTTTACACGTCACCACTTTGTGGTCTCACTAGGTTATACGTCAATTGGTGTTTAAACTTTCAACACTTCCTAAAAGTCTCGCAGCTACACACCACATGCTTTCTATTGATAGCATTTAACTGTGCCGAAGTGTGCAAAATTTAAGCGTTTACAAAACGCCTAAAATTTGCTTACCACGCAAGTGTGCAACTTGAATTAAACACCATGTGATGTGCGAAATCATAACTTGCACACGTTGGTGTCCAAATTTTGCAAACTTGTTTTACCAGTGTACGTTAGCCTTTTTCATCCAAAAATCGAAATCCTCATCGGTGACTTATCTGATAGCAAATTTGATGCTGAGAACGTTGGTCACTGTCCGAACGCTCTGCGACATCGGGAACCCACCGCGCAACGGCGTTAAAGATTTGGGCCCGCGCGGGCCCCGAGTCCAGGGGCAGCGCTCAGGTGGATGCTACAGCGGCGTCGCGCGGCGCAGGGGACTCATATTCACATTACACGTAGGGTGTCCTCTATCGAACGCGACGTGTCCGACCGCGGTGCGATGTGCCGTTCGGGCTAGCCAGCGAGTACAAGTTGGCCAAAGGAGTTAGGCCCTTGGTAAAATCGACCGATCATTTTGGATGTTTAATGGACGAAGAACCCTCGCCAAGTGTCCCCCACATCGGCCCCAAACACCAGTATCAATACGCCCCTACGCCAACCGTCCAAAAAATGAACAGTTTTAGCTGAGTGGCAGACAGCGGCGGCTGCTCACTGTTTGAAACGCGCGCGCCGGGAGGAGTAGGGAAAGGTTCCCCACCAGCTGCGCTCTACCAATCGCTTTCTAGGTTAAACAACCACCAGATTTAGGGTCTAGCTTTATAATTTCGACTTTTTTAACCGATATACTCTAATGCATCAATCAGAAAGCGATTGGTAGAGCGGCAGCTGGCGGGGAAGCTTCCCCCACTCCTGCCGGCGTGCGCGTTCCAAACAGTGAGCAGCCGCCGCTGTCTGCCACTCAGCCAAAACTGTTCATTTTTTGGACGGTTGGCGTAGGGACGTATTGATACTGGTGTTCGGGGCCGATGTGTGGGACACTTGGCAAGTCGTCCGTAAAACATCAAAAACGATCGGTCGATTTTACCAAGGGTCTAACTCCTTCGGGCAACTTGTACTCGCTGGCTAGCCCGAACGGCACATCGCACCGCGGTCGGACACGTCGCGTTCGATAGAGAACACACTAGGGTACGTGTGATGTGAATATGAGTCGCTTGCGCCGCTCGACGCCGCTGCAGCATCCACCCGCGCGCTGCCCCTGGACTCGGGGCCCGCGTGGGCCCAGATCTTTAACGCTGTTGCGCGGTGGGTTCCCGATGTCGCAGAGCGTTCGGACAGTGACCAACTTTCTCAGCATCAAATTTGCTATTAGAAAAGTCACCGACCGCAGAAATCCGAGAGCTGCAAGCTCAAAATGAAACAGGCTAGTGTACGTCTGTTTGACTACAATACAAATTTTCAGCGGGGTTCAGAGTTTCAAAGTCGAAATTTACCGTTTGGCAGCGGGCGGACAACATTTCAGAAAATTGTTAGCACAAACAAGAAAAGTCAACTCCTTGACGCCAATAACTCACGACCTACACCACTATAGTCATCCAAGACAAACGTCTAGCTTTCCAAGTAAGGGCAAAATAGGAGTCTACACTAGAGAGGGTGAGAGGAAAAGCGAGACCTTAAGCTGGGACGACTACTATCTTGAAGCGTCTTTGATAATCGATGGCCACTTTCTAGCGGCTGCCGCATCCAAAGCTAGTCATATCACGTACCACCACAGAACATTGAAATAGACCCGTTTTCAAACTCACATCCCGTTTGACGTTCCTCAAATATAACTGACCTACACACGCAGACTTACTTTTTTAACGTTTCCCTTCATTTGTTATTCACGAAATAGGGAAGTATAAACGCGATTTTAAAAGAACCGCCTGTTATTTTTTTTTATTTTTTTTTTTTGCATAATAAGGATGCAACAAGTGCATGTGAAAAGCGTCGTCGTCTGCCCCATTTGCAAATCCCCCCGCGGCATTGCGTCCGTTGCACGTGGTACCCGACTCCTCCATAAGGCGCTCACCATCCTTGTCCCAGGCGCCTTCTGTTTGGTAGGAGCCCGTGGCGACGCCCATAAGAAAGTTCTTGGGGATCTTGTACTTAGGGTCGGTCTCAGTGACCATCTCGGGGGCGTTGTCGGCGTCCGGCAAAACGGCCTGCTTTGAAGCGGGGTTTTCGAAGATGCGTGCCCGTCCAGGTGCGAGGAGAGCCAAGGTGGCCACTAGAGCCAGAGTCGCCACCATCGTTGACAGAATGACGAGTCACTACGAAGTGCGGCACGTAGGGTTTCAGACAGTCAGATATAGGCTCAAGCTGTGCTATATCCTTTCCACTTGAGCTTACATCTGTGCGTCATCGAGTGCTAGATAACAGCAAACCTCAGCACATCTGGGTGGACCAGTAACACGGTAAAAAATACTGTCTGATTTTTTAAGGAAAAAGATAAACTTTTGATGAACTAGGGTAAGATGTCCTATGATGGCCACCTTAAGAATGGGCCTGCCCAATGATGGCCACCCGTTTTTCTTGTAATGTAGACAACGATGTGAAGTAGTTTGGCGTATTATGCCCAAGTAGGGACCTCACTAGAACACTACTTTAAGGCCAAGATTGTAAAGTGACCAGATAGGCTGGAAATCGAGAAAAGTGGCCATCAATGGGATAGTGGCCACAATAGGGCACCTTACCCTACAATAGTTTGAAAACTCATTAAAATTGAAGGAAATCTTTAAAAAATGTGGCATTTCCACTTATATTTTTTGAAAAGAATTGCTCCGAATTTGACTTTTCCTTAAAAATAGGAAATTTCTGAAAATTGCCCCTTTTTCCTGAAAAACAGACATTGTGTTTACTGTCGACTGAGTTAGCACATGAGCGCAACCAAAGTAAAAATAGTTAATAATGTTCTTTACATTCCACAAATTGCTATGGTGTGTCCGAGGGGGCGGCAAGTCGTATTCTTATGTGTACAAGGTTTGACGTACCCCGATATATCCGTGTAAGTACTCAGAACGTTCTTGAGGTGAGTTTTGGTTGTACTCCGTCTGCACCGCGATCCTTCACCAACGTACTCCAGCTGAACCCTGGTGTACTTAAGCTGTACTACGTTTACTCTGACGTAACCTGCTGTGTACACTAAAAATAACAGTTGCCGACCCCTCGGCTCAGAAAATTACTGGTGCAGAAGACGAATGCGCAGATTGAGGAAGAAGTGGTCATAACTAAAATACTGCTTCATGGGCCTTGCTTTTGAACTGCTTCCACACAAACATGAAACAGTCACTTTGAGCCACTTGATAGCTATAGACTAATTGTCGGTATAGGTGTTGGTCGATGCGAGCTAACGATAAACGAATTCGACGTCGGTCCAATAAGCCCCTGACACACGACAAGAATGTCGCATGGCTCTGGTTCTGATGTGTGCCCTCTAAATAATGGACTGATTCAGAGACTTGGATCCCCCATGTGACGGGCAGTGGCGAGGTGTCTCCTCGAGGTGTGGCAGATGAGTCGAGTGAGAGAGCTTCCGGTACAGTAGCACCTCGACGGTTGTCACTGCGTCATTTACTGGTAGAAGAGCGTATTCGCATCTGCCATGCTTGCACATTTCAATCTCTTGAACAATTTTAGTTGTAGGCTGGATTTCTTTCAACACGTCTGCTTAAGCTGAGACCACATTTTCGTCGCTGGGCTTCCCTGCAAGGTAGGTAATCGACAGGATTCTCGTCTCGCGGGATGGCGCGAAAGTCCGTACCATCTACCTTGCGGCAGAAACAGCGACTAGAATTTGCTCGTCCGTCGGCTCATCCTGTACGAGCCCCGCAGCGGGGTACTAAGCTAAACTTGTACGCCAGCCAAAAGAACGTTAGGCATTCACTGTCATTCACTGTAATAAATACTTGGTTGGACATTTGATATAATGCCACATAAGATACTCTATCTCGCATCACGTGCAGGGGGTTGGATTGGTAAAGGGGGGGGGGAGAAGTTGTATGTAGAGGGGGGGGGTCATCGCTCACCCTGACATTCGGACTTATTTTAGACTGCCCGCATCTCGGACTGGCCCGAAAGCCGCCCGGTTGCGAGCTTCGGACAGTTCCAAAATCTTGTTGATTTCTATCCTTTTCAGATATGTTTCGGAGTAGTCCGATACGCCCGGACTGTTCCGTAGACTGTCCGGTCTTCGGGCTAGTATCGGAATGATTTATTTTCATAAGGGCAGGTGGGTGTGGGACGGTGTGGGGTGTTACTGTGGAGCATTTCAACTATTCGTCGTCTAGGACCTCGATAGGTCGCCGATGACGACCTATGACAACTCGCACCGGGGCTTTTTCGAGTGTGCCGAGTCCATTTCCGGGGCCCTTATGCACCACGAGGGTCATACTGCGGTCGTCGACCCCCCCAAAACATCTCTCTGGTAACCCCAGAAATTCAAACGGACGACGCCGACACCGGTAATGCGCTCGGCAGATTTGAAAAAGCCCCGGTGCGAGTTCTGATGGCATCATCGAAGAGATCTGGAGGTCTCTGATGAGGTGGTGCAAAACGGACACCTCAGCACGTGTGTTGACAGATCTAGACCACACCTTTACAAGGCAAAAACGTCAGCTTGGTTTTCAAGCTGAGAATACAAGTTTTCAAGCAGATCAGGTAAAAACAAGCAACCCTCATTTAGCGGCTTGAAAACCAGTACGTTTTTCAAGCAGCTCTGCTTGAAATCCTCCAATGCGGCTTGTAATTAATTCATGACGGTCGGTCCGCCTGCTTGGATTTCGGGACGGCGGCTTGTAAAACAAGCCGAGCTGGTAGGATCTGGTTACCCCTGCTTTAAATTCAAGCTGCGTTGCGAATCCTCTATGATTTGAACCGACGCTGTTACGCACTCGTGTACGCTAAGTAGTGGAACAGCGGTGCGCATTGTGTTGTACGCCAAAATACACACTACTCTAACAAGCGGAGAGGGGTGAGGGGGGGGGGGCGCTGGGTGCACCGCTCAGGTGGGACGCACAGGTAGGCACCCAGCACGTGCCACAAAGCGCACCGCGAACAGCTCAATGAGACGGGCGCGGCGGGGGAGGAGGCAGCGCGGGGGGCGCGGTGCGCGAGATAGGAACACTCGCCCTCGTCGCGAGTCACAGAAATCTCATACAAAATCAATGGGCGCCCCCACACCAGAGTCCCAAACTGCACAACACTTCACAGAATCACAGCACAACAAATGTAACGCACAAGACGCGGGGCGGCACGGCACAATGCAAGTGGGGGGTACTCGGAGACTGGCGTCGGCGGGGGCGCGGCGCGCAGGGCTCGGCGGGCAGGACTCCGTGCTGGCCAGCGAGGTGAGGGACTGACTGACGGTCAAGTCCTCTCGTCTTCTCTCCACTCCGCGACCACTGCACTGACCTCGAGCCCCCCCCAGCAAGTACATTCCTGCCTAGGATACCCTCCCCTCCCCTCCCCCTCCCCTTCCGTAAGTTGCATCCCTTCGCAAACCTTTCCCCTCATCAGACGGTCCGAGGGGGCCCCGATTCTTCTGGCCACATCTGGTCGCAACACTTTGAACGATACCGTTGTCGTTTTAAAATGACATATGTTGTTTTAAAACGACAATGGTCGTTCAAAGTGGTGTTTTTGCCCGGCCTGCACTCACAGACGCTGTGCCCTAAAGTAACATATGCACGGTCAAAAGTATCTCAGGAGTTCGTGTACTCGGAAGACCGTATGACGAATCATAGGAAAAATTTCGCTCAAAAAAGACCACTTGCACAAAGGTGCGCTTTTTGTTCCGAAGGTTGAAACATTGAAATGAGAACAAAGAAACTCTATATTCAGAACTACGACACTCGATATTGCCTCATAACTTATCCTTAAAGCATCAGAAACCAAAAAAGTCGATTAGTTATCATTTTTTGATTTTCGATGATCGAGTGACCCGGAAGGCATGGTGTCGTTTTAAGATAACGTTCAACTTTGATCAGGTTTTAGAGGTATTATCTTTGAGGAAAGTGTATTTTTTTACTCGACAAGTTTCATTTCTTACACTTTTCTGCATACAACCATGCTGAGTTTACCCCATATTTCTCGAAGATTTGCCGTCTAAATCGTTCTCTTTACAAAACACCCCTCCAAACTGACCCAAAATCACCTGTTTTGGGGCCTTATCGGCCACTCGTCTTCTGAAATATTGACATTCATTTTTTTGGTGAATTGTGATCATTTATCCAACGCAGACCGGTCCTGAAATTTTCATCCACTTTAAAAACAAAATAAGAAATCATGTCGAGTGACCCGGAAGGCATGATGTCGTTTATAAATGACATTCAGCAATCCTGAACCGTACATGCTAGAACAACCCACGAGGTCTTAAAATGCTTCTTAGACGCGGGAAATTCCAAGCGTCACTTACGGACGTTCGTACGCAAATATCGCGGTTTTTTTCTGGTTTGGAAAGGGAAGATCTGAACAAATCGAACCGAACTAAGCTAGTTCTTGAAGTACTTTTTAGGCCCTTTCCAATGGCATTCAAGCAGACTCCGTGCGATGAGTCGTTTAGATTTTATCCTTTGGCAAGAAGGCCGTCACTGACAGACATAAAACGGAAGTGGGTTTTGACATGGTGTTAGTTTCTTTTAAAACTCAGCGAATTTAGAGGGGTTAAAAATTCGACGAGGGCAACGTCTTGAGACTAAGTCATGCAGCTATCTGCCTATATACTGTGCTTCGCAAGATTCGCCCCCGTTCCTGTGTTATAGAAGAAAAGAGCGTCACTGACGGACGCGGACAGCGTCACTGACGGACTCGTACGAATGGATTATTCGCCGACTTTGACCAGCCATAACTCCTAAACGGTTGCACATATGGGGCTCTGCAAATAGTCACATAGTAGGCAATGACAACCTTAATATGGTCCAAAAGAGAGCGGTTTTCTAGCTCCCCCCCCCCCCGCCCCGTGAATGGGGTTCAAACTGGGCACACTTTCCGTGCATTCTAAAATGCAAGGAGGGGGAGGAGAAAAACGAAAATAATATACTTTTGTTTTTGCCAAGAGGGCGGGATAACGCATCCTGCGGTAAAGTAAGAAAATCTCGGTAGACAATTTTCAATGTAGATTAATGTTCGTAGCGTCCGTCAGTGATAGCGCCCACCAGGACAGCGTCCGTCAGTGACGCGATTTTCACCCTGTTCCGACCGTTTTGCGACCTCGGACATAAAGACCAAATTTGTTCCTCATAAGAAACTTGCTATGCACTCGAAGTGTCGAAAATGTAGCTCGGCAAGATTCACCACAAATAGAAAAAAAAAAAACACCAAAATTGTCACTGACGGA